TTATAATTTCTTGTCTTTGCTACTTTCCTGTCCTGTATTTTCCACCTGCTCCACTTTGCTTATTCTTTGCTCCATTCTCCTCATTTCCTCCTTCTCCTCCCTTTCTCTTTTTTCCACCTCTTCTAACTTCCTTTCTCTTCCATCCTTCACCACATTTCCCTTCTCTCTTCCTCCAATTTTCTTTCCCTTCCCTTTAACTCTACTTTCAGCTTTACCATTTCCTTCCTCAAGTCTCTCCTCTGTTCCTTCACACCTTCCAGTACTCCCTTTATTTCCATTATCATCTCCCTTATCATTCCTGTTATACTCTCTTCCTCCTCCTTTCTTCCTTTTCCTTTCCTCTCTGGCGATCTATCCACCTACTCTTCCCAAACACCCATTTTTCCTTCTCTTCTTTCATTTCCTCCTCTTCACCCTCCTGGTCTTCCTTCTTCCTTTTTAGGTATTCCTCTAGCCACCCATAACTAGCCTTTCTTTCCAATGCCAGCCTTTCCACATTTTTGAATCTTTCTCTCTTCCTTGCTTCCTTTCATTTTTTGTCGCTCTTACCTGTCTCCGCCATCTCGCGTCGCTTTTGCCCTCTACCTTATCTACATGTCTCCTTTCTATTTCTAACTGCCTTTGACTTGGGATTCATGCGCTTCGCTGTTACCCCCTTATCTATAAGTTTTCTATGAAAATATTCATTTCTTTGCTTAATTTTGTTCCGTAAATCTTCGTCGATAAACTTGGGTCTGTTTGCTACAATACCCAATATCTCATCATGAGAAACACTACCTAAGAATTCAGTTTGTTTCCTGATTTTCTTAGAATACTTCTTCGCCATTTCGCTGGCCATCTGTTGGTCTGTCATCTTTTCTAACATGACTGCATTTTCAATTTAGGATCTTCCATATCCTCCCTATTTCTTATTATTTTGATCCTCTGATGGATAACTGCTACGTTTACAATTCTAGGTTTTATAGGGTTTCCCACTTCCCTGGCTGTTTCTTCAATACACGGTATTTCGTTTTTCTTCTATCTCTGCAATAATCTTATTCTTATTCATGTCTGTTTTCTTTCCACTGATTTCTCCTGTCACTAGATCCTTATAATTCTTATGAATTATCCTCTCCAGTCTTCTTTGTCTTTTATTAAACTTCTTGAATAATGAATCTATCTTGTTCTTATATTTCTCTCAATTCTTTGTATTATAATACACAACTTTTACGCACATCATATTATACTGCGATATTAATGTCTGCATTTTAACCTGCAGTATTTCTTTATCTAAAGTTTGTTTTAACTTGTCTAGGTCCGTTCTCTATGCTGTCCTGGACAATACTGAATTCATGGTTACGCAGCGCGCTCGTCACTATACCTTGTATCCCCACTAGCGTTACCTCGAAGTGGTTCTCAATTCTTTTACTCCTTAAAAAGAATAATTTTTTCTTTTTTCTTTTTTATTTCCTCAACTTTCTAACTTTTTTGTCAGTTACTACTTTGTAGAAATCGAGAATGGAAAATCCTGCATATATTGGCTTATTGAACTTAATTTTAACACGATTTAGCTCGATTATAACCATATCTTCGTCAGAGAGTGCAGGTATGGAAATTTGGTTTCGTTATAAGGGCCTTTGTTCCATACCTTCCATCGCATTTCGTAACGAGTCTAACACCTTTTTGTATCCTTACATTTTCCATTGTCTTACCAAAAACCGCATTATTCATAAGTTTAAAGAAGTTCTTTTCGATATCATTATTAGACTTTTTTCTCATTTCAGTGTTTAAACTTACGTACTTCTTGAGCAAATTTCGATGATGAATTACTTATGTAACATTCTTTTAGTAGAAGTGTTGTCATCAATTTCGATTTTATGGATCCTTGAGGATTTTTAGACACTGTTCTAGACAGAGTGGTAAGTCTTTCTGGAGTTCTTGAAGTTAAATTGAATATTCCGTATCAACTTCGAGTATACATATAGCTTATAAGAAAATTATCGGAAATATTGCAAATATGTTGTTTTTTTAAATTTTCCTCCCAGTCGAAGGAGTCAAATGGCAAAAATTCAAGAACTTTAGTTCTTCGACAATCACACCACCTTTCATGGTTTAGAATTTACAAGACAAGACGACATTCACTTTAAAATTCCATCCTTTGGAAGTGCGTTTTTCACTCTAGCAGTGAAAAATTTTCTGAAATCTTCCAACAAACGCTCCAAGTCCTTGTGTCGCAAGTTTGCAATCACTCCAGTTTTTATTCTTCCCTTAAAAGCGATTAACTTCTTACACTTTGCAGAATGTATTTTGTTGACACTAATAATGCACTTGAGCGTTTGAAAAACAATGATCTCTGCGCATCATCGAAGGACCTTTTATACGAAAGTTTCTATGTTTTCCTGGATCGTTTTGCATTTGTTCGAGCGATAAAACTCCTACCCGAAATGCTCACTTTGAGCTCAAATTCTACGTCAAAATGTTTCCGACGCGCTTTTGGAAATGCACAAAGATCGCTTATCTTCTGCGAGTAATTCAATACTTAAATAACAAGATTAAATCAGTGTCCGGCTGCCGCCTGATGTCTGCATGGGGATCGGAGGAGTCATCGAAATCTTACATTCTAAATTTGCACAAACCTGCGTGGGGTGGGAGGCTGGAATAAATCTCGACGCAAAAATCCCCGAAACCACTTTTCGGCACTACACACAAAGGGAACGCTGCCGCTCGTCATCTCTCTCTTTGATTCACCGATACTACGTACTAATCTGTGAAATAACGTTCAAGGTTAAAAGGGAAGCTCTGAAAACTCCCTACATTCCGGAGCTCTGCATTCTTCATGCGTAGTTCTGCGAGATAACGTTAAAGTTCAAATCAGCTGCCGGCTGAGATCTTCACGGGATCGAGGAGGGAGGAAGGCACGAACCTGCAAAATTCCTGGGCTGCGTTCTTGATGCGTAATTCTGAGAGAGAACGTTTGAGGTCAAACCGGCTGAGAGCTATCGTCTAAAATCTGCACAAACTTGCACGTGGTTGGGTGGGAGAGAGGGGGTTCATCGAAGCTTATAGAAGGGTCTAGAAGCTTCTCCGGCGTTAGGGACAAGGTGCTGCTCAAAACGGTGGGCGAGAGGGCGGCTAGCTCTGGAAACGATCCGCGATTTAGCACGAATACGAACCGTCGAAACTTCTAGAAGGTTTAAGAAGCTTCTTGTGCGCAGTTCCTGAAATCGAGGGTAAAAATCCTAGAATCCAACGCAGTCCTCGGAGCTTCGACTTTACGAGTCCCTAAACATTGTCTATGAGATTTGCATCTGGCGACTGCGATGGCCAATCCAATACGTTACCGCCATTCTGTTGTTTCCATTCATTGTCAGTACAAAGATTACTGCGGTGTTTTGAGTTATTGTCCTCTTGCAGTAGCCAGTTTTCCTTATTCCTTATAAACCACCTTTGGGCAGGTGGTAATAAAGCTTTCTAATATATTTTGACCATTTTGGCAGCGTTTAAACTATCCGTGAAGATGTGCAAATTTCCAAATCTCTGTTTGGAAAAACAGTCCCAGACGTGCAACTTTACCGGATGTTTAACGGACCGCTGGATGAATCTGTTGGTAAAGATAGACCAGTCATAATTAATAGAAGATAGTACCAAAAAGAAGCTTCGTCCGAGAAAATTACTTTGTCCCAATCACGGTCCAAACGTTCTTTTGTCCAATTTAGTCTTTTTTCGACGTACTTGTCGGACAGTAGCGGTTTTTTCACTGTGCTTCGAAATTTCACATCATGACCCAATAAACGTATTCTTATAGTGTCACATGATACATGCAGAACCTTTTTACACAAAACTGCCTGCCCGCCACGCAATGATAGACGAGGATTCTTCTCAAACACCCGTAAAACCAATATGTCCTCCTTTTTCGTCGTTTTTTGCACACAGCCACGATCTGGCAAGTTATCGACGTTTTTTACGTCAGAATAGCGTTTCACCCACTTACTTACAAATGTTACAACTTACTTACAGCTTTTTCTTACTTACTTACTTACTTACTTACAACTTTTTTACAACAATGTTACTTACTTACAACTTTTTCATGTGATTAGCAGCAGCTGCGTAAGATATTTTCGGTCCTTTCGGATGTAAACACAGAAACACGGCTTCGTGATCTGATACGTACGCGTCACTCATAGTGAAATACGTTCTATTGTGAATAAAGTGTAATTACAACTACAACTGGTTATGCAAAACATCGAGGGGGATGGGTCATGCCATCTAATCGCGTTTAAACCTATGCTCTAACAGTTTCCAGAAAACAGTTTACCCGTACACGTTCTTGTCAAACAGACTGTATATATTATTACTTTAACAAAGTTGCTTTGCTAGCGGAATCTGTCATGTGAGAAAGTAAACATGCGCAGACGGAAAAGGAGAGGACGAAGGAACTGAAACGATCCTATCGTCTCTCGAGTACTCATATATGAATGTCATTTAACCTGTAACAATCGATTCAGAATATTGAAAACTGGTATAAATGCAATCATTAACTTCTCCTGATGCACAGTCTTTCGTTAAATATTCGTTCCAGTGCCAATATTAACAAAAATATTGTTTCAAATAGCCTCGGCCGTCGAGCCGCCGGATTAAGTTGCCTATGTCTACACGTATATTGCGAGTTCCTTCGGGTAAAAAGTCTCGGTTTTCGCTCGCTGCCTGTACTTGACGTCCGACTCAAACGAGTCTCTTGACAAATGCATATCTTGACACTGTTGTCTTTAAATTTTGAAATTATTTATCTCTTCTGGCATTTATTTTTATTATTAATATGAACCTTTGAATACCACACTTTAGTAGCTGCTTAAGTGATGGGAACGGCAGACTGGGTGTGCGTTCACCCAATGTAGTATTTAAGGGTTAATACTACGTTTCATTTCAATTAATGTAATAGTATATACTTCAGTACTGTTAAAAAGACACTGTATAATTTACATAGGTTCTATTGAACAATTAAAGAATTTTTGTTTTAACAGGACACTGAAGAAGGCTTTGATGTTTGTGAACGATTCACTTTATCCAATATCAAGAATCATCGATATCTTTCAATTGATGGCAATGAAACCAAACAAAAAATTGACGAACTTATTACAAAATTTTCAATTCACGGAAATTATAAAGTTGCCAAGGAGTTACAGTACTTAATTGGTTGTTTCCTACATAGTTTCGATTTTGAACAACATCCTCAATATGATCTTCAATGGACATTGTTGTCATTGTTGCTTGATTTGGCAAATGAAACAACATACTCAGACTTAAGCAGTCATGTGTTGCCTAAAAATGAATACAATGTAATTGCTACTGTTGACTGGAACAATAGTGCCAGTAATGAAATTGATTGGGGTCCATATTTAAAGGAAGGCCAAGGAGATTTTTTTTACGACTTCCAAAATAGCACTGAAAGTGTAAGTTTGTAGACATTATCAGACATAATTTCATATGCATACTGATATTATCATACGCTCGATGGTAGTATATTGACAAATAACCAAAATTTATACCAAATGATTCATGTAGAAGTATTCACAAATAACATGTTGTTATTTTTTATATATTTGCAATAAACGGACTACATACTATATGCAATATATTTTTAACAGGAATGGTCTGATGAAGAAGTAACGGAAGTTAAAGAAGTAGATAAGTGTCTCACTACTTCAAAAAATGACGTACATTTGTTTGAAGCGTTGAGCATAAGAAAGTTCCATATCACGCAGTATAAACTTTCAAAAATTGTAATGGAAGGATTGCTATCAAAAAATTGGCTATCAAATAATGTGCCAAATTGTTGGTGGTACAAATTGGAAGAGGGAGGATATGAAGCCAATAGTTCTTCTCAACATGCAAACTTTTCGACATTGTGGTAATGTTTGCAAAGTTTTGTCAATATATACATTATAATATTTTCTTTCATTTCCTTATCGTTATACTTCTATAGGGATAAGGCCAATTTGGAATTATTACCAAATGGAACGAGAACCCTTAGTGAGTACCAAGTCTGTAGGGAATTGATGTGGATGTTCTATGTGCAAGCGCAGATGACTGTATTCCAACAACAGGAGTGGGAGTACAACGTTATACCAAATATTTCTATACCAAGCTTATCAAATGTAAGTATTATGAATGTTATAAAGTTTGATAATTTCTATAATTCTTATTCAGAACTCGGTTTCACTGGTAATAGCGTGCTTTAAAATAATTTAATAATGAGTTTAGAAGCAACCGTATTCACAACCACGTTTATGGTCACTCTTTATATATTATCGTTCGGAGACATAAGCCCGTATTCAGAACTCGCTTTTAGTGCTAATAGCGCGCTTTTAAATTTTTTCTTAATGACTTTTAACTACAAGCGACTCTGTTAGTGACTTTAAGAGCGAGTTGTGAATACGGGCTATAGAATATGGTTGTTGCTTACTGCTCGTGAAATGTTGGAGGCCTATAAATAGGATTTTATACACTGTATATTACGATATGCCGGCTACACGCATTAGTTTTCGCACAAACAGCTCGGACCGTATTCCGTTACGATCACTAACAGCTATTGGCGCGCTATCAATCTAAAAGTTAATTTTAAACCGCCTTTAAGCAGTTAACAGCGCTTTTTAGTCGCCATATTGCATCTAAGAGCGACCTCTATGGTGATGTGGGTAGGACTGTGTTTAAAGTGATAGTTCTTCAAACATAGCAGAAGAAATAAACGTTATTGTGGACATAGACGAAGTGCGTGAAGTTCTTGAGATGAATCATCCTCCTACTTGTTTGTGATTTTACACTATTCGCTTTACTTTTCAGCACAAGCGATTGTAATTTATGAGTTGCATAACTAGTGCTTTTTCTTCAATAGAAAAGTTTTATTTTCTTTACATCTACAACGAATCGTATATTTATCAGTTTCATATGAATATTAGCTTACCTTTAACGAAAATAATATTTATTCTCCGTGAATTTCAAATATGGCTAACTAATCAATCAAAAATGAACTTCGCACTTTCCAAACGTAACCGAGAATTTTTAGATACTGACGAATAGGCTCGAGCCTTGCCGAATGTTGTAGAACACGCAAAGCCCATGTTACCAGAAGTATTTCCTTATTAGCGTATCTTTAACTAAAAAGGGCTTAAAATCGAGATGTAAATACAGTTACTAACAACTCGGCAAAATCACTAAGAACTAAGGACGACTCTATTAGTAACTTTAAGAGCGAGTTTTGAATATGAAATTATATGTATAACATATAATTATAAATACTTCGGTGACTTTCTTAACACTAAACCTACCATCGACGGGTCATTTAGACCTTTTAAAGCCAAAAATACGTTTATAAAAAATGGTTAGTAGGTTTAGTGTTAAAAATACAAACACTATTTTGGCAACAAATGGCTACTTTGATAATCATAATAGAAGTTTTTGAAATTGAAAATTACTTCAATACTTGAGCCCGTATTCAGAGCTCGCTCTTAAGGTCACTAACAGAGTCAGTAATAATTAAAAGTGACTGCGCCGAGTTGTTAGTGACTGTATTCAGAACTCGCTTTTAAGCCGCTTTTAGCTAGCGATGCTCTAACAGGGAAGCAGCGTGTTGTAACATATACTTCCAACCGTGTTCAGAATTATTCGAGAAGACTCGGGCATATTTGATTATGTCCAGGAGGATTTGGTGGCATTCGGAAAGCGCGAACTTTAAATTTGGTGGAAACTGCAGCCATATTTGAAATTCGAAATTCAAGAATTCCCTTTCTTGAAGACAAGCTATTAATATTCAATTAATACGTTAAAACTATTATAAGACAGGCATGAAATGAAAATGACAAAAATAAATGGTTGTAGATCATCATGGAACGAAAGGAGAATTTCACACTCGAAGTATAAGCATTAGTCGTCCAATTATAAGCGACAATCATGATATACTACCAAACTAACCTAAGCTTCCGGGCTCAATTTCAAAATCAGTGAAATTTGACTGGAAAATTTTGTGTAGCATGAAAATCCCCATAAATCTGATAGCCTCTGAGCATTGAACACGGCCGCAATGTCTAAGGATGACGTCACGTACGAAACGGATCACGCACAGAGAGAAATATTTTGCTAACTACAGCATGGCTCACGTTATCATAGCAAATATCACATGTTAACATAGTGACAGCAAATACAATTGTTGTCGTTACAAAAAATATTTGTTATTGCAATATTTTTTAGGGAAGCAAATATTATTTGCTGCAACAACATACCAAAAATTTTGCATCCTTTAGCAACGGTTGTCTAGAGAAGCAAATGTCATTTGCTGCAGCAACATAGAAAATGATGTGCTCCCTTACCAATGATTTGCTAGGATAGCAAATAACGGTTGTTGGGGCAGCATCTAATGGATACGGGTTTCATTATTAAAAATTTATACTTTGGCAGCGAATCATAGATAATTATTAAAGGTAAACAGTATTAATTTTTCATGGCATTTGAACGAAACATATTCTATATTATCACAGATCCATTACATAAAGTTACAACACAATGTACGTATACATGGATATCTTAAATACAATGACGTAATATTATATATTTTTCGCCACTAGCTATTGTATGCGCATAAGCTGGTAGTGGGTCGAGTAAGTCAGTTGCCTTTACGCAGACGGATTCATCAGTCGACTCAACTTGGTAACCTAAGACGTGGTCGCTTAAACCTAAAGTAAGAAAAGCAGTACAAATAAAGACTGGACAATTTTGTACGCCATGAAAAAGTAAAATCTTAATTATTTCACCGAATATGAGAGATAAATCTTCAGCGCTAATAATCAAGACCATCCGAAGTTTAAATTTAGTGCCGTTATATTTGACCCAATTAGCCAAAAAACACTCACCACAATTCCGAATCTCAGGAGCAATCACATCGTAAAAATGCAAAGTTTTCCCTAATTCGGCAACATGGCCAGAGCTAACAACCATACGAGGCAAAAACTAAAATCTTGATTATTTCACCGAATATGAGAGATAAATCTTCAGCGCTAATAATCAAGACCATCCGAAGTTTAAATTTAGTGCCGTTATATTCGACCCAATTAGCCAAAAAACACTCACCACAATTCCGAATCTCAGGAGCAATCACATCGTAAAAATGCAAAGTTTTCCCTAATTCGGCAACATGGCCAGAGCTAACAACCATACGAGGCAAAAACTAAAATCTTGATTATTTCACCGAATATGAGAGATAAATCTTCAGCGCCAATAATCAAGGCCATCCGAAGTTTAAATTTAGTGCCGTTATATTCGACCCAATTAGCCAAAAAACACTCACCACTATTCCGAATCTCAGGAGAAATCACATTGTAAAAATGCAAAGTTTTCTCTAATTCGACAACATGGCCAGAGCCAACAACCATACGAGGCAAAATGCTTTCATTCGTTAAAAGTCTATAACACATTGAAAGTTGATGTTTGACAGCTAAAGGGTAGCAAATGTTGACTCGCGACAAATTTACAGAAGCTGGACTAGTTAAATCACCATGTTTTCACTCAAAGCGTATAGACGATAAGTTTGCGAGTGGACCACTTTGCATAATTATCCGAGGAGCATGTAGAAAGATATGATGCTTTGGTTTCAGAGTCTCTCCAGTTACTTCAATATAGATTTGGTGATGTTCAGCAATTAACATTTCCAACAAAGGTAGCACATCTTTTGACAATTTTCGCGCGAATGCAATCTCGAGTTTCTGTCGCAAAAGAATATATAAATTCCAGAAGGGGTTTTTCGCGGAAACAAGATCGCCAATGATTACTCCGAAGAGTTTTACGAAGCATAGCATTTCCGCTGCGGTCATTTTCAATTTTTTACTTTTCAACGCATTTTTCAGTATGGGTGATGGCTTATTATTGGAGCTGTCGATGGGAATGTAGTCGAACATGAGAATTCGATTATTCAACGAATCAAGATCAAATGCCTTAAACTTTCCAAACGTGAGGGCCCGAATAATCGGTATCATATCATAGTGACATATACCTTCTCGAATGTCATACATTTCATCGACAGCAAAATTCGTACAAACATGAAACGACGGAATTTCGTTGAGAATACAAGCACCTTTGATACCGGTTTTACTGGGATCATTTGATAATACGTCGGCTTCGTAGTTTACTTTGTCTCGCATTTATTCCGTTGATAACGACGTTGCTCTTTGAGTCTTATCTTTCGGCATTTTACGAAATCGACAAAAATAGTTAGCCGAAAACGATTCGACAAAATTAAGAATACCATTTAACCTAAGGTTGTCGCCCAAAATTAAACCTAGCGCAAAATATACATGTATGGAGCCTTGAATACTGTTAATCGAGATGCCTTTCTTTTCTAAGAACGTCAACTCGCGTACCAACGGCTCTAATACATTCGCATTCGAATATGTGCTTCTTGTGTAACTTTCGAAAAGAAGCACAAGAAAAAAATTATTAAAAGTAGAGCGACATCCACGAGGCAGCGATGCAACGGATGCATAGACTGCTCCGAGTTTTCCGCTATGCGGGCCTAATGGGTTATTGACCTCGATGTCGTCAAAAAAAAATAAAAAGCGGTAAAACGATATCAGATTCATTATAGTTGGATCTCTTACTTACCAACAACTCGCATTGAATGAAATTTTCTAATTTACTCGATGTAGACTGCGGGCTTACCATGTACGACAAGGTATCGTGTAAAGCGTTTGGTAGTTCAAAAAATCTTTTTAGAACTTGTCTCAACGATATGAATTGACCGGTTATTTTTAAATTGATTTCTCGAACGCCGCTTGTAGTTGTTTTTGGAGTTTTCGTATAGCCAATTACATAGGGTATCGGGGCGATATAATGACCGGATTTTTTAAAATTTTGTAATCTGTAATGCTCCGTTTTGAGATGTCCGAAAGGACTTTCCAGTTTCTCAAACATTGACTGTATTTCTTTGATTGAACCTTCATTTTCGTCAGAGTGTGATAAAGTTCGGAAGGCTTTAGTCTTTATTATTACGGGAAAGCCGTCGCCGAAAAAAGAATCTAAGTCCTCGATTATTTTCTGAACAAAATTTCGTGGCAAACGCTGAGCACCATACAATTTCGCTACGAATTTCGCGGCACACGGGGTTTAATGCGGATGAAAATTCTACATAAGATACGTCGAGTAATGGAACAAGCTCGGGTTCATCATACTCCATAAGCTCATCTACTTCCAGTAAATTGAACGAATAATCAATTGCGTTGCCAAAAGCCTGAATGCACTGTATTGGTTCATTATGGTGGACTTGAAGATGTTTACGGAATGAATTTTTTAATCCAAAAATACAAATACAGGAATCCTCACCACAAGTGTATGTAGTCAAATCGAAATTCGGATGATGCGCTACGAAATGCGCAAAAAGACTACGAATCGAGGGGACAGTTTTGTTGTGCCGTAATGTCTCGGTGACGAAGGAGTTCGTTCGAGAGGTTAGGGCCAAGATATTTTTGGGATCGTTGCCGGTTAAGGAGTTGGAACTCGCGTGAATACAACAAAACTGAGAAGGTTTATTGAAACAATCAAGTGTGTTGTACAGTATGTCGACGTACGTCGACTTGGAAAAATATAGGTACCGTTCGGTCCTCCTATTTCCTGTACCGAGTCTGCTCTACGAGACCACCTTATCCGTTCAGATTTTAACTGTAGACTGTCGATTTTCAGATGTGCAGCCATAGGCTGGACTTCCGAAAAGTGATTATTGTGCGATTTTTCGATTTCCACATCTCGGTTGCTAGGCCGCCTTTAGTTCTGACTTAGCGCATTGCTACACGCGTGAACTACTTAGCCTGGCGTTTCTCAATGGAGTCAGGAGACTCCCAGCACAACAGTTTCATGAAATACGTTACACGTTGGCATTTCGTAAATATTTTATTTCTCGTTTTTTTCAGGAATGCGCAGTGATGGGAAAGAGCCCAGTTTGCTCATATAGTCTAATATTTTCGAATATGGAGAAAAACTTTATCGTCGTCTTCGAGACAACTGATTGCTCCGTATTACTTACGAACCCACTTATTTGGTCTAAAACTCGTTTAAAAGCTTTTCCACGTTATTACACTATGCTTTGTACTTTTTGTTCATCGGCATTTCGTATATTCCTCGCTGAATAATCTGCCAGATTCCCGCCGCTTCAGGAGGATACTGGGCATCCAAGGTGTGTATGGCTTTAAAAGCGATGTCGATAGCTTTCAATGGCGTTTCAACTTTGTAGCGATACCCTTCGTCGAAGATTACGAAACACTGCTCAATTTTGTCAAACGACAGACTGACGATAGCAGCTGAAGGTTGAAGTTGACAGCCAAATCGTAGCACTCTATTTCGGCGTTCATTCAATTTTATGTCTGGGTTCCCAATTACCGGTAATTTGTCATTATTCATTGTCACTTTGGCGTTATAAGATAAGATTAAAAAATATATATATTTATATAATTTTTGCAAATATCTGAAAGTTTCAATTAGACCAAAATAAACATTAACAAGTAAAAACAGTATGCGATATAAATTAATTGAGTTACGCAAAGAACTAACCTTGACGTGAAGCAAAAAAGCTTCTTGCATTTCTATTTTCGACGGTCGCCACTCTTACAGTTTTTGCTTGTTTTCGAGCATTGACCACGCGAAACATGTGACTGATATTCATTAAAAGGAAGTTTCCTTGGTCCGCTGTGAGTAAATATGAAGTTTCGATGTTACGATACATTTTTTTTCCGTGTGTAATTATAAATAAAAATGTACTCACTCGAATCCTTTATTGAACTGGGAGACACACCGTGTATGTTCGGCATGTGCTGTAGTAAGAAACTTTGCAGTTTCGGCCACAATGCAAAGAGCTTTTTGGAGCTATCAGGGTAGAGTGATTCAAAGTCAATATCCACCTGAAATAAACACTCAGTATACACCGTGCATGGAATTTATTCAGTACTTACAAGTGTGTATCCTCTTGGATTTTTAAAGGCTGGATATGCCTTAATATAGTCTCGTATTTCGATAGACTCCCGAAATAGTAAATCTTCTTCTTTCAATTGAGGTTTCGGTCCACCTTTTCTCGATTTCGACCCATGGTTCAGCAGTGTTCTTGAGCCAGATAATAATATCTTCTTAGAACTTTTGAATCTCTATATCATCAACTACAAAATAAATAATACTTGGTATGCATTGGCGAGAGTGCACAAAAAGAACGCTCTATAAGTATTTTGGGACCCGATTTTGGTAGGTCTTTTCAAAATTATTTTGGTAAGGGGTCAAAAAAAAACTCCTCACCAAAATCCATTTTATACTAAATTCATGCACAATAGAGAAATTATTTTTAAAAAATGTTTCGGTTTAACCGTCACACGGTAATGTAAATTGTTTAATTTACCTTTCTTGTCGTTTGCGTTTGGCCTGCCAGTACCCTTTCGTCCTTTCGTTTGTCTGGGAATGAGCCCCAGTTCCATATACTTTCGTCTCGTATTGCTCCAGCGCGTATACAACTTTCCTTTTCCCGTAAGGAAGACACTGGTGCTGTTAATAACTGCCCATACACTCTGCTAAGAATGAAGATGAATCGTATTTAATATCTAATAAATATGTATAAGGATATATAAAATTATGATATATTATTTAACATACTTGTGCCTCAGTCGGAAAGTATTTCAGTATTTGTTCGGACAAGAAAACAAATCGTCCTGGCGAAATACTAAAATAAAATAAATAGTATATAGATTCTAAATGAAGATAGTTTCGTTAATTATTAGTCAATATGAAATACCGTCGATCGAGATCGTCAGTCAACTCATAATCTATAACAGCTCCTGCAATTGCGTCTCTGTCTGTGTCCCTCAATTTTCCATTCAATTTATAGGAATTCCAAGCTGCTATAGTACTTTTTGAAAACTTTAAGACTTTTTCTAAATCCTGTAAAAGTACGAGCAAGCACATGAGAAATAATATCCAGTGTACCAACCCATGGTACTATTAGAATATACGAAACCAATTATTCAACTACAATTATTAATATATGAAAAGGGTGTGGAGACCATTACAGTTTTTGTTTGCAGACAGAGGTTACGATCAACTCCTGCGCTATCACTGAAGCAATTGCACTTGCACTTCCAACACGAAGCGTCAATACTTTCTCAAACTCGCAGCTAACGTATTTCAAGATATGAATGAATTTAAATTTTTCAAAATTAGCAAGTGCCACGAAAAATAATGTTTCCATTTATAGTGTCTATTGCTCTTGTACGCCTATCACTATTTAAACGGAAACGTTGAGCTCTAGCATAGAGAATTTTGTTCTAGCATGGAAATTAGGATAATTTATGCAAAATCTTTGCTTTGGATATAAAAAAAGTTTTAAGTGATAGTTGATTCTTTCAATGTTAGAGAAAATAGTAAACCCGGCATTAAGGCATGCTATATGGGGAGGGAAAAACCTAATTCAACGTACAATTTCATCGGTGTCCTTGGCGCAGCGTCGAGGCGGCGATTCAGCTGTTTGCACTTTGACAGTTTCCAATGACCTCCGTTTTTTCATCGATGGTACTGAGACTTGTGAGTCCGATTTTTGTTCAGCTCTTTCTAATTCACATATAGAAATTTCTTTAAAATCAATTGGGCCGATGTCAGCGGCGTTCAGATTTGAAATGTTATTTTCAATAACGTTGTGTAAATCCTCGTGAATTGTTATGGGTACAATGATATCTGCACAAAATAATAGAGATAAGAAAGCATTCAATGTTATAGAACCATGCGTAAATGTCGGATAAATAGATTTGTCTAGCATTCGATATCCTAACGTTCAGTTGAACGTTGTGTCGGGCTCTTCGTATGACGTAGTCGGCCCTGGCCAAACGCTGGACGTTATTTACTCCAAACATTACGCACGGACATACTCTGCTATGTATGAGTTGGGCACGTGAACCGCGTCAGCGAATCAACGAGCGTTAACGGGGCTCACGTATACGAGTATACATATATGCGTGCAGTATGGCTCTAAAATGCGAGTCAAGGGACGCTTTTTCTATATCTATTGTGACGTGATTTTTCTCCCTCAAATCGCCTCGTAGCAAGAAGATCCGATCGCACCACAAATGTAAGGGACGAGACTCTAAAGTTTTCCCGGGAAAACTCAAGGAGGAAATCTCTACAATAAGGAAAGCCAAATGGACGCTAGACGCAGCGTTGCGTCACGTAACACACGAAACTCCCGAGAAAAATTAAGAGGACTCCGGCTAGTAGGAAAGAAACGGAAAGGTATGGTAGAGGGCCGGGGAACGCACAGATGGTAAAGAAAGAAGATTGAGAAACCGCGAGATATTCAGTAACAAATAACAAGGGGCCCTTTTATTGGGACTTATTAAATCAACAATTAACAAATCAAATATCCAATTTCGAATATAAATAATTAGTAATACGATATCGCGCGAGACGAGGTCCTATACGGGACACGCGAACAACATAGAAAAAGTAATATCCAACAGAAACAGGTTCAAGATAATGTCGCCAAATAATTAATCAGAAGTTCAATTTCATGAACGTACGGGAAGCGTAGTTCATGAGTTCTTACGAGCACGATCCAGGGTCACCGAGAACGTTGATAATAAACACGCTTAATAAGAGATAATATATAAAAGTTCACGCTAAGGCACGGAATCTTTTCCTCTGGCGAAACGCGATCTTCTCCTCAGTCGAAACCGGGAGGATAATTACGAGACTATAAAGGGACTAAGGTCAACTACGCACATAGTAATAAAGATTTCGTTCTTTTGGGCGTCGAGACGCTTACCGTAAACGGTACAAGTTCTGGAACCAACGATACGTTCTTCTTTTTGGGACTTTGTAACTTCAACGGAACCACCGGCCAAGACTGCTGCCAACGCAAGAATGACGCTCGAGGGTTCGTCGTCTTACCGGTCGGGGCTAGCTCCCTCGCGGTAAGTCTAGTTGGGCCCAATGGGCCAATCGCCTACGCGGATTATTGCAGCCTATCAGGGCTTACGCGCAAATATTCAAAACATGCCTATGAACTAATTCGATAATTATGGAATACTACAAAAATAATTCTTTGACTACCCGACGCGAGATGCTCCCCAATAGAGTAGAGATTTAACCAGAGCCTCCAACGGGTCGTATATCTACGATACTGGGAAGGATGGTACGCAAATTCTATGTTCCCTTAAAGTCTACGCGCGATACAAGGGCGTACGTCGCTTTTTCGCGAGACTCGGAACGTGCGGACGCTCAACGGGGCTTCTTGCCGTGTCTTCTTGGCGTTCAGGTAGTGACGGGTAGATGCTGCAGTCCGGTCCTGGGTTGACGGGACGTTGCAGTGGCGGAGGTCGCGATCCCTCGGCCTAGGGTAGCTTCCTGAGCTCCCTCTTCGATACGGATGCCTTTAGCTGGGCACCGGTATCGGGACTGACGAGACGTGATGTAGTCCATGGCGATGTTCTCTGCACCTCGGCTCCGTACTTTATTCGGGACCGGACGTAACGGGGTGGAGGCGCCTGCTGACGTTGGCGTTCTTCCACGCTCCCTAGCGTAACCTTCAGCTGCTTTCCTCCGACGATACTAGAGAGGATGGTTGCTGGTTGCTTCCTCGGTGTTAAGTTGGCTCGACGTATCGCATGAAAGTTATTGTATACAAAAACAATTAGTCTAACCTCATTATATTTAATAATCGGGACCCTGGAGTTCTTGGCCCATACAGTCGGATATTATCTCTCCCGAGGGACGGTACTGCGTCCCGTGATCAAGAGCACGCGAGTACCACATCGAGACTTTTGTAGCGTTAAAAATTAACGTCACACTATATATATCGAAATCTGTTCCTTTCGCCTAGCCACCGCTAGGTGGCTACTGTTTGTTTTTTTCTCATGCCCTACTACAAGCTGCTGTGTCCGAGAGAGCCTTAGTAGATAGATGTCAAACAAATTCTGCTGCGTCCGCGGTCCGAGCAGGTCCGAGAATCTAGCTATCGAATTCTGCTGCGTTCGAGAGCCTAGCTTGTCAAGTGCTGCTGTATCTAAGAGCATAGCTTAACAAGTTACAGTCACGAATCGGTAGTGTTCGCTGGTTTATACGCGTCGCGTAGCTGGTCGTGATTTTTTCGTGTATGTTGAATTGTCAAATGAGAAAAAATCAATGTTAGCTTAGAATAATTATTAGAAGGTTATATGAAGTGCCGGGCGTTTGTCGACACGAGAACATAGCAGTGACTTTTACTAAAAAAAATTTCAAATAGTCAAAACAAGTGTCAGGCTTTTTTGACACAATAAATGTTGTAATACAGTAATACAACAAAAATAAGGGATATCCCCCAAAAAAACTTTTAAAAAGTAAAAATGGGTGTCGGGCCATCGTTGACACCACAAATATTACAATGCAGTCAACGCGACAAAAAGAAGTAAGATCAGCTAGTCGGGTAAAAACTAAAATACAAATAACATGTGGAAAATAAAAAAATTAAATTAAATTTTTAAAAATATCTGGAAAAATTTTTCAAAAATTGAAAAAAATTCCACAAAATCCGACAAGTACCCTATAAGGTTTAGAGAGACCATCATTCTATTAAAAAACATATACTTATGTACTTGTCGGATTTTGTGGAATTTTTTTCAATTTTTGAAAAATTTTTCCAGATATTTTTAAAAATTTAATTTAATTTTTTTATTTTCCACATGTTATTTGTATTTTAGTTTTTACCCGACTAGCTGATCTTACTTCTTTTTGTCGCGTTGACTGCATTGTAATATTTGTGGTGTCAACGATGGCCCGACACCCATTTTTACTTTTTAAAAGTTTTTTTGGGGGATTTGTATTCCTTACCAGAACTTGCCAAAACATTTCCTTGAAAGTTATCAACCAGTGTAGCGTGCGGCGGAAATGTTTCACATTGCTCGGAAGACAAATAATAAATGTAAAAAAAAAAAAACAATAAGTTTACAGCTTGAACTGAGAATCACAAATGTTGTGCACAGATAAAAGTCACGTAAGAATTGTATTTTCAGTAATAATTTTCCGTTACTTATGTAATAAAATAAAAGGTATCCGTAATAAATCTACGGAAATGCTTTTTGCAAAGTTTTTTAATCTCTATAGTCTACTAACATTACTTTTGTAATGAATTGTCTCAATCTTTAATTCGATTGATATTGTATCTGAAACGGTACTTCACGAGTAACGATTTCATATAGCACTCTGTCTTACCTTTGGTATATTTTTGCCAAAATCTTTTTGTCGGTTAATCTTGAACCGTACCAAATCCAATGGCTGAAGTATCAAATCCCGTAGAAGATTCACGTCAAGGGAGGGCAACAGATCGTCCGTTATGCTCAAATCTGCAAATGATAATTGACCGAATTTACATGTCAAATGGCATACATTTACGTAACTCCCATAGGTAGTGTCTATGACAAAGTGCTTTCGGCTTCAGCAAAATAAATGTATTCAAATTATACAGCTATGTATAATACTAGGAAAGTATCACGGGTAACAATAGCCGTTGAAAATAATACAACTATTGTTTACGTTGCTTCTACTAAATAGTTATCGGACTAAGCGTGTGTGTAAGAGAGATGGAAATACGGTTTCTTATGGAGGTTCGGGGATTGGAACCGTAGCGTTAGGTGTCCGGCCACTGGGACGTTTACCTTAGTAACTATAGCAACAGAAAGTAACCGACGTTCATTTTTTATTGACCGGCGTGTAATACATGACGAGCGAGATGATTTTCTGAAAAATTCCACCACTGAAAGCACTCTGATGAATCGGGTCTTGGGGCCCGAAAAAATCAACCAACGAACCCAATTTACCGAGAACCGTAAAACGCCTAACCGACGCAGATCGCGCAGTGACCGCGACTCTTCACGGAATATGATAATAAGATACACGTACTTACCCTCGAATACTTTTATCGTGTCCTCGCCAAGCCCCCACCGTCGAAGACGTTTTAGTAGTATAAGTTGGAGAGTTCTGGATATAGATTCCTGCACCGACATAATACCGACACTCCAGAGCCTTCGAAGGTGGGTGTCCGTGCTAAGTTACCGTCGTGAGCTCTACGATTTCTGGAAGTGACGTCATCAGGACCCCTCGATTCCAAGAATTTTCGCTCGATTTCGGGAATTTTGCGTCACATTCCGGGAATTTTGCGCTCGATTCTAGAAATTACGCACGATCGAGAACCTTCTAGAACATTCTAGAACCTTCTAGAACATTCTGGAACCTTCGACGGTTCGTGTCCGTGCTAACTCGGGAAGGATCGCTCCCAGAGCCGGCGGTCCTCTCGCGCGACGTTTTG